GTCTTAAGCTTTTACAAAACGAAAATACTATATCCTCTTTTCCATTGTTGAAATGTTGTTAGGTTTTTAGGGCAATATAAGTTTACCTGACATACCAACTTCAAGCCCAAGTACAGCTCGTTAGGTGAGGTACTAAAAGAAAGTAGAACATGAACCTGGTCCTCCTATGCTGAACAAATGCTCTTTGAAAAAAATGATATTGGCGTTTTTGCGAAAATGTCAAATGGCCCCTTTTAGGTTAGTAAAACCTGCATAGAAAACGAAATGAGGGTTAATTCATAACTGAAAAACGGAAAAATATATGCGTGATGCCTAAGTGTGATTCTCCTCCTCGAAGCTAGGACAAATGAGCAAGAAGTTATGTTTGCCGTCACAGGAATATTGTTGTTATAACGTAATAAATAATTTTTTATTGATGCCATAGGTGAATTGCGCTGCAGAATGTGAGTGCACCATTGGCTGTTTTAAGGGTCGAGAGTTCGGCTGACTATGATTCGTCCAAAACAAGGCATTAAACTTCCTATTTTATACATCCAAATGGGTACTGAAGCTTATGCTTCAAAGAAATCTTTATAGCAAGTCGATTCTGAACGTGGAGACTTTGCGCCTTGGTAATTTGGCTCTAACAATTTCGAATTACAGAATAGAAATGGAATAATTGAGTTACCATGTTTCTATGTCATTATTTATCTAACTCAAGTCGTGTAGCTTGTGTTCCCCTTTGTCCCTGTTCCGGAACTCGTTTTGGATGCTCCTTATTTGCAGATTATTATTCTGCTTTATCCTGCCTAAATAATGGATTTACATTATATGATCGTTCTGTTGTAATGCTATGCACTCAATAGACGTATGCAATGTAGGGAGTAGATTAAGTGCTTATCTCTAAGCAAGAACAAACTGAATCTTAGTTCATTGAACTGATCCTTTAACAAAGTAGAGTACTCCAGAGATGCTTTTTATTATTCGTATGCCAAATTGGAGGCTTATCTAACAATAGGGACTTTTACTAGACCAGCAATTATTATAATTTTAGTCATATAGAACATCTTTTTGTCTCGAGGACTGCCTTAAATTTTAAATGAAAGTTGATAACCTTAATTACCTGCAAATAATTTTGATCCTATTTAATTTTGCTGATAGCCTCGAGCTCTACCAGAACCATTATATTAATTCTGTTTATTAGCTTCTTAAAATGTTGAAATAGATTGCAGAACAACCTAGCTTTGTTGGAAAATACAAAATGGTCTTTATTTCAGCTTTGACCAAATCTCAGACTATAGATTTTCCGATGAATTGTTAAGTGAGCGGCAACTTTATTTTCCTTTATTCATGCCTATTTGTGTCGGTAGAATGCGTTGTCTTATTTGTTCTCTAATTATTATATGATTTAACAACATTTTAAGTTGGTGCAAACATTTGAGCAGGCATTTTAATTAAATATTCATGATAATTTCAAGTACCTGACTGTTGACTTGATACTTTCCCACAGCAGCATAGTCCGCATTGTCAGTGAGAGTAGCCTTAGCATCAAATTACAAATAATCAAAGTCACAAGAAAAAGCAAGCCCGGTGAGCAAGTTTCGGTTCAATCATTGTGGCATCAGGAAATGTACCAGGCTAATGGTCAAATACACGAAATTATCGTGACTTCTATGGCATGCGACGCAGGATTGGGTATCTTCCACAAGATCTCTCTGTCACCCCTACCAAGTTGTGATAACGAAGTCATGCCATTTTAATACGGCTAAGGGAGACCCCGAACAACAACATCATGGTAGTTATATCTACGATCTGGTTTTAATTCACCTCAGCAAAAATCACTTCCTTTCACTATCACTTTACGGAATATTTGGGAATGAATTCAATTTGGCGCTGATCTGTCTTGACTCTGATTTTAATTAATGTCATGCATTCTAGCCTTAGGTTCAGAAATTTAATTTACTCAGTCGCACCAATTTCTGATATTGTGGAATCATTCTGATGAATCGTCTTAGGTCAAAAATAAGCTCATTAAGCCTTGATTACCTAAGGACACAATTTTATACCTACTTATACACACACACACACACACACACACAAACAAATATAGTATGGAAATAACCCATTCTTTTCGTACCTGCCCTTATTTAAATCGTTTTTGTGTCTTTAGTTAGCAAATATCGACTAGCCGGTTAGTTTTCTTAACTTAATGTCAGTTCTAGATTGGCAAAAAAATGCTTCCTTGTCATGATAATGTCTAGCATATGACAGACAAAGGTTCAGAATGTCTGTAAGAGGGAGAGTGTCACGAGGATAGCATCGACCCAATGGTTTTGATAAAACCAAATGTCAGTAGACTAAAGGAAACCCTCCGTTGTCTTCTGATGAGCTCGACTAGCTAATTTATTAAATTGATGTGCCAAGAGGTTCCTCCAAAACAAGTTTTTTTTACGTATATAGAGTTTAGTTAAAATTTCAGACACTTGGTTGAATCTTCGGTCTAATTTGGGTTGTTTCTAGCTAAATTAAATTTCAAGTTGAAACCTCTTCGACAATACTTCTTTTCTAAGAAAGGGAAAGTTATGTCTTTATATTTAGATAGAGACCAGGTAATTATGTAGTTAGTGGGAATTACGAGAGTCTGGGTAGAAATGGAATTGATAGCATTCTTTCTTGAGTTACTTGGTATTGCAGTTTTTAAATGGGAGTTTGATGGTGTCGAAATGTTGAATGCAAGCATACTATCAAACCATTAAGTCACCATTTGGCGTCGTTTTCTTTCACATGATTACTAATGATTTTCCCAGGGCCGTTTTGTGAGTAGCTTATTTAATCTTCGTTTCACTTGGATCCATGAATACAGCATCTTAACTTTATCCCCTCCAACCACCACTGAGCGTATGCCAACTGCATGACAGACATCTTCAAAGCAGTTTCCCTTTCTCTTACCCGGTCCCAAATAGGTGGATGTGGGTGTGATAGCGGAGCAAATCTACAAAATCCGCCTTAGTCATGATAATTCAGGGCCTACACCAAGCTGGTTGTTGCACGATGTCGTCATACAAGCCTTGTCTCCTTCCGATCGGCAGTCAGGATCCAGCCCAGATGCTCAAGTACCAATAAATTATCGATTTAATTCGCTTGGACCCTTACAGGCTTTAAGCTGGAAGACTCCCGGTCTCGATCCTTTGCTGCTTAACCGGCCACCAGTTGCTAATGTTCATCAACGCCACCAAAAGAACGCTTACGTCGGAGAAGTTTCACCAGTTGGCCTAGGGCCCGGTTCCAACCTTTCCGACCAGAATTACCGTGCTCCTCTGCCTCGAGTCCACTTTCCCTGTTGGCAATGGTTGTCACGTGAACATGCCGACGGCGAGGTGACACGCGAACTGGCCGCTCCGGGTAGTCAACAAATGACCGAGTCAGGAGTTGGACACTCGAACAACTGGGCTGTCATCGGGTATGGTAGGACCACGGCAAGGATTCAAGAAGTGTCACGAGGATTACTCGGTCCAACTCGAGGTCCGTCAAAAGTGCCGGCTCTTCGAGACACCAGTTGGAGGGGTAATGATACCCCCGGTGCTGACGGAATAGTCAATTGTGGCGGCGGAGATATTGTATCAACTGTGATGATGGCGCCTGGCACTGCAGGCCGGGCAGATGGTAGATCATAACCAATAAGATTTAAAATAGCTTTTTATTTGTTTTATAGCCTCTTTTAAAAATGATAAAACTTCTTACGTTTCCATTGATAATCATATTTTTAACCAAATGTTTTCCGCTTCTTTGTTATTTCTTTCGTCCGGCCGTCCTCGTCTTCACCTATAAACTATTTTAATCTCTTTAAGCTGGCATCATTGCATTGAAAAAGCAGCTTTTAAGAAGGCTCTTGGGATATTATTGTTGTAGAGACTTTTTTTAAATATGAACTTGCATGATGAAGAGCCTGTTGGTCGATATAATCTAAAGAGAACGGCTGATCCCCGTTTTTCTGTAGATACGCATAATAACTTGGTTTTGATGAATCTCCTAAAACAATATTGCTAAAGAAACTTTAATTTCGTGTGAAAGTGTATGAAGAAGAAATTCGAAGGTCGATCTAATCAGAAAGCGATGGCTGATTCCCGTCACACTGCAGCCGCTTGACTTTAACACGACGTTCAGGTGGATATAGTCCACGAGACATCCTCCCTCGTTTCGGGTGAAAACGGGCTGAACTATCGTCCATCATATGATGGATATCCTCAGAGCTGGAAGTCATTCTTGTATAAGTCTCAAGTTAACACCGGGTGAAGAAGATTGTTCGGCTCCATCTTACCTCTTGTATATACTCATAAATAAACACATTTTTATGTCGAGATAGTCTAATTGTAATAAAAGCCGACACAGATGGGGATATCGAAGTCATGGATAGGTCATGTTATGTAGAAAAAAAAAGCTATTTTACTCAAATTATATGGGCACATATATGACTTTATTGAGAGATCCAACTGAGAAACTTAAGACTAGGTTGAAGGATGCCCTTAAGGTATGTGTAATTAATGGTAAACTAGAGGAATGGAGCGTGAATTCACTACTCTAGAGAGATTCTAGGCTTACGGTCTCTCTAAGGTTCACAAGAAAGGTGTCCATCTTAGAGTTATTGTTAATAATATAGGAAGCATAACACATAAAATCTCACGTTTTTTATGCATACTTTTTACGGAAAGCCCCTGATTTTGGCTAAATTCAATTAAATTACCAGTCTCAAAACTCTGCTTATATACGAAAAATTAGAATTTTTAAGCATTCTGATTTAGGACCTATTTTGCGTATAAGCGTTAACGCACAGGCACATTGAGCACATCTGCATACACACACAAACTCATGTAAATGTACCATATGGAATATGAAAGATAATTAGTCATACCATTTTATATACAACTTGCCTATTCATTTTCATTTTTATTTATGAATATATAAAAGAGATGAGATAGAACTAGACAGTTATTTTTACCTAGTGTTCAGATGATACTGTTACAAGAATAAGTTCCAGTTCTGATGATGTTCATCGTATAATTGACGAAAGCTTAGCCTTTTTCCACCCGAAGTCAGGGAGGATGTCTTGTGGACT